ACCCACTACCTGGGATTGCCCGGAAACATCTGGATTACCCCATGGGCAGAATGGCAATGTGACAGGAGCGCAGCTGGGTGTGCTGGCAGAGGGAGAAGAAGGCAGGAACACTTCACACAGTGCTGGAAGCCCACCAAGACCAAGCTTCTCCGAACACATTGGCTTCCAGCACTCTGTGCACTGTTGCACTTTGTTACGTAGCAAACTAAAACAACTCAGATGCATTTTATCTTGCTGTGTAACAAAGTAATTGAAAGTAGAATACGCCACCGAGTGGGTAAATAGCAATGCCATTAAATGGTGCAAAAGGGCAATTAAGCTAATTAAGTCCAATTTTTTGGCATGCACAAGGCCCCCAGGTTATTAATGTTGGGTGGGGTCTGTCTTCAAAAAGTAGCTCTGCCATGTGTGTTTGTTGATAGTAGCTAAGTTATTCATGGGTCCTTCCTGAAGGAATAACATCCTTTGGCCTGTAACCTGGTATGTACAAAGAGTAGAGAGTACATGTTGAGTTGTTGTTGTTTTCCTTCAAACTACTAATGTGTTATGGTATTCCTATGCAAAAGGTTTTGTATTCCTCCACATCCTTCCCAGATTCTCTTTCTTATGCATTTTCCTCAGCTACACAGAGGTGAGTTACCATTTTAAAAAGTATATTTTAATAGTCTTCTGTTAAAATTACACAAATAGATCTGGCTTGCTCAGATTTGTTTTTCTTCCTCATTCCAGAGTGCTTTCCATCTCTGGTATCAAGTCCTGACTCAAATGGTAAATTCTGAAAAAATCCTAGAATAAATATTATATCATGAATGGTAACTAAGATTCCAGACTAAAACTCAAGAATTTATAGCAAGATTATACTGCTATCTGTATCACTGCTGTATGAGAATTATTTTTCCTATCCCCAGAAAATGTTCAGTATTTCAAAACTTTCAATGTACAACCCCAAATTCCATTAACCAACAACTGAAGGGGAATCCTTTCTCCTCCCTCCTCTCCCAAACTCTACGTCTTCGACCACACATTTTGGTTTTCAATTCAAAATGTTTTTTGTTTTTGACTTTTCTGTTATTCATTGGTTTAGTAATAAACAATTGTTCCAAGTGGACAGCAAGTGAAATTTTCATTTTGAAGATATTGCAATAGAAGTTCTATTCAATTATTGTTTTTCAGATCAAGAAACTTCTTTGAAAAGACCCTTGTGCATGATGGCCAGGTACAGACATTACTCATTTTACCTTTATAAGTGATTGAAAACCAGTCTATACCCATAACAGAACAAAAGTTTGGCACATGAAACTGGTCTATACCCATAACAGAATAGAAATTTGACACACACAGACTAATTTGAAAATGGCAGAACCAGGTCTAAGATTTGCGCTCCCCCACTGCACCAAAGGGTGAATATGTGTTCTGTTTGCTACTGATGTAAACTATGCGACTTACAGAAAACCATGTAGCTTAGACTGATTCCTTCTTGGGCTTCATGAATGTCTGTACCTCCTAGCCAATAAGTTTGCTTGATGGATTGTGGGTGAATCTTTATTTTCTAATGGGAAGAATTCAGAATCAATAGGATTACTAATTTCTCCATACCAATCTCAAATTTTGAAATGTTTTTAACTTAAATTAATCTTAACCTAGTTTCATTGTTAAAAATGTTTAGAAATGTAGTACATTTTTATTGACATATTCAGAATCCTATTTAACTATTCTGTAGAGGCAATAATCATGATTACAAATCATGCAATAAACTGACCGTGTGTGTCTCCCATTCTGCCTATTAATCCATCTGTTAGGACTTATGCTAACCCTCTGAGCAAATAAATTAGATAGTGTTCCAGGTAAATATTTATTTTTTTATAGCCTGACATAAGGCTTAGAATAGGGCTCCTGAAGCATAGAGTCCATTCTTCTGCTATTGCAGGCAAAACTACATCAAATTGTGGGTGTAACCCTGAATGATCACTGGAACCAACTCTTCATATGTGATCAAGTTTCATCTTCTAGAACTAGGTATATTTTTCACAGCTGGATCACACTGGTGGCTCACATTCCATTTGAAAGCAGCTAGTACACCCAAGTTTTCTCCTTCCCTCTGTTTTCAACTGCTGAATTTCCAGCCCAGGGCTATAATTCCACAAGTGCAGGATTGTATTTTGGTCTCCGATTCCCATACTGATTTAAGGCAAATGTGGTTTTTAAGGTAAGGGAACAATTTTAATGTTTCTATGTTCTTTACCTTTCTACAAAAAAAAAATAAAAATCTTGAAATACATTTTCCTCTAGCATATAGCTTGTCTACTGTACATGAAATGTAGATTTTATCACTACTCATCCAGGATGTTTCACAGAGTTCAATTATAGCTTTAATGTCTTCTGAATAATAGGCCAATCTCAAACATGTCCTGGTGAAACTTTTATAACACTTTATATTATCATGTATTCTTTATCAGCACAGGGATATGGGCTGTAACTTTAGCTCTTCCTACACTGTGTAATTTTGGGTACAAATCCATACACTTAAAGTGTGTAAGCCTGCAAGATCACCATAACAGATCATTTCATGTGTCTGTACCAGACTGACAATCTGTACAATAAAGGTAATATATTAATGAGTTGACAGGAGTAAAGTGTCTTAACAATTAAAGACAGGTGTTAAATATTTATAACTGATATATGGAAATGACACCACAGTAAATTCTTTTTTACTCTATGTACCTATGTGAAGGGCTGGAAAATTATCTGGATAATGCCTAACCTGTAGTATGGTGGTTTGGGGAAGTGGTGCTCAACCTCTTGACGGCCTGGTTCTACTCCCTGACTGACCCGATGTGTAAAACCAGATCCAGGTCATAGAGCCATGTAACCTGGACTATAGGACTCCCCCTGGGTCTGAAAACTTGGCTGTTTGGGGGACTGTGGTAGCATTGATTGCTGATCCCCTGCTGCTAAATTTCTGGACCCATGAGGACTGCTTTGGGCACTGTGTGCTAGATCAAGCATTCAGGGAGGGGTGGTGCAGGGTCTATCCAGGCATGTGCAGTGGGGTGGGGTGGTGTGAGCCAGGATCCAGGCATGTGGGGCCCAATCCAAACAGTGTGAAGCAGGATCTGGAAACATAGAGCCTGATCCAGGCAGCAGGAAGCAGAATTTGGGCAGGTGAAGTGCAATCTAGGCAGCATGAAGCAGGATCTGAGTGAATGGTAGCCAAGTAGAATTTGGGCAGAGCAAAGTGTGATCTGGGCATGTGGGGCCCAATCTGAGCAGCTCAAGACTATGTGGGCAGTATGGGGCTGGATCTGGGTATATGGGGGACAGATCCAGGTGACGGTCTCATGCTCCTGTCCCACAGACCAGCACTGCACTCATCTGAGCACCACTGGTTTTAGAACACTTTGTTGAAAAGCTGGAGATGAAGATTCAAACCCCTCTGAGTGAAGAGAGTGTAGATCCTGGTTCCTTCATGCCTTGAAGAAATGCCCGAAGCACCAAGGTTTGGGATAAAATTTGGGACGACTTCTTCTCCTCCAGTGTCTAATATCTGCTACTCCTGGGTTTTGCCCAAGTAAAATTTGGGGAATTTCTCATCCTTACATGGGTATCTGGGAGATCCATATGATCCAAGTGTCTGTCCAGGACTCCAGTTATTCATCATTCCCTGAGACATATTTCCTGACCACTTAGAGCTCCAATTATTTCCCAATGGTTACAGACAGGTTTACTTTATTTATTTTTATTTTTATTTTTTTATATAAATGATATAAGGAAGATACAAATTCCCTAATAATAGTTAAACTAATATTTATAACTCAGTAGCCTTAATCACTACTATATAAATTTAATTCAGCCAGTATCAAAAAGTAATCAAATGGAGATTACTTAGTCAACTTAGTCAACTAACTTGTCCACTTAGTCAAAATTGGAAGCCCATGGAACCCCTTAGTCTTTAATCCTTTTCCGCACCACCCCGTATCTTATCTTGTCCACAATAGAAATGCTGCTGCTCCTAAGAACTCCTTGCTTCTTCATCTCATCAATCTTCAGTCAATGAGGTGGAGTGGAGGTTGGGGCAGGGATACTTAATTTATTTACGTAGGTGGGATTGGGAGGGGAGAATGAATTCATCTGGGAAAGAAGAGGCATAAATTAAGTAGGGATTAAGAGATTTTTGTTTACGATGATCCTATTCCACGCTTTGGGACCTGCCCATCACTGTTTGTCTCATGCTGAGGCTTTAAGATGACAAAATGGCATGTCAGTGAGAGTAAGACAGCAAAGAATTACAAAGTAAGAACAATAACAAAAAATAAGGGAGGGATATGGTTGTTGTTTCCTATTTATTACCTGACAAATTTTGTTTTCCTGTCATACTAGATTTCTCACCTAATTTCTATGCACAAAAGATTCTCTTTTATCAAAATCATTCATCCTGCGATGAAGGGAAGAGCATCTTACAGGGAGGGATGCAGTCATCTACTTTTTGTAAAGAGGCAATTTATTTTGAACCTGTTGTGTTATAATGACAAAAGAACATTCATCTCTCTCACCCTCTCTCTTTCTCCTCCTCTCTTTTCCTGCTAGGCTCTTGATATCTAGTCCAATTTCTTAACAGTTTGTCTTCTCTGGGCCTTGAGTTTCCTTAGAGAATGTTTCAGGGTCTTGTATACAGCATTATTCTTCTGTGTTTTGGC